CTCATGATTGCCTCACATTATATAAAGTCTGCTTCATTTATCACATAAAATCAGCATATTCAAGAAGAAAGAAAGAAAAACAGAGGGGAGAAGGAGAATAAAGAGAAAGAGAAGTATATAATGGGTCTTATCAGCATCTCATGGATGATATTTCCTGTAAGAGAAGCTAGTAAATAATTTTTTAAAACTATATGTATTGATGCACTAAACAATTAGGCTTCCATTAAATGAGAAAAGGAGAATGGATTCTGAATATGCAACTAACAGTGTTGGATAAGTAAATTGTTGCATGTGAACTTGATAAATCACCTAGTTCATTTGATTGCATATGAAATAATAATGCAGAATATTTTATAAAATTGTTAGAGCATATGGAAATCAATTAGCTATGTGTACTAGAAGATGAATAAAATTAATAAACAAGGCAAGTATCAACTTCAGGAAAAACAAAGAATTGTACTAAAACTCAAACAATCACGATATTCTATTTATTTAAAAAATAAACCTTTTATAACTTTAACAATGTAAACATGGAAGTCTTTCTGACTTCAGAAGAGGGGAAAAACCATTTTAAACATAACCTTTGAAGTTTCCATTTTTCGATCCTTGTTCGTCTCCTGGGCTCCAGGTTAAATGCATCAAGGACTTCCCTGAGGAAACTAATAACAGGAGGAATATCACAGGATTGAAGTGGGCTTTACATCAATTAGGACAACTCTTCAGCTTAATTTTTTCTCTACAATATCCCTGACAAGTGGTTGTTTGGCTTCTGCTTGAATATCTTCACTGACAGGGAGCTCACTATTCCTTCCAGACAGTCCATTAAATTCCTAGATAGCTCTAATCACTGCCAAATCATTCCCTATAATCAGGTTAAGGTCAGCATACTCTAATTTTGCTATATTCATCCTTTTCTACTTCCTAAGGTCCTCCAGAAATCCTCTTTATAAGAAAGTAACCAGCTATTTGAATACTGGTGTCAAGCTACCACTCACAATCCTCCCCATGCTAAATTCTTCTCCACGTCCTTCAACCATTTTTAAGTGATAAGGTTTCATATTCCAGTGACAAGCTGGATATCTCTGATGCACTTCATCTGGTTAATGTCCCTCTTAAAATGTTGTGTTAGGGTGCCTGAGTGGCTCAGTCAGTTAAGCGGCTGCCTTCAGTTCAGGTCACAATCCCAGGGTCCAGGGAGCCCGCTTCTCCCTCTGACCCTCCCCACCTCACGTTCTCTCAATCCCCGCCCCTCCCTCAAATAAACAAATAAAATCTGAAAAGAATAAATAAATAAATAAATAAATAAATAAATAAATAAATAAAATGTTGCACCAGTGCAGAAAACATGATTGCCAGATGAAGTGGGGAAAAAATATGAAAAACAAAGTCTCTGAATTTTATATTATATTAGGAGGTATCATATAAGTTTCCTTTTGGGGTCCTTTTGGCAAAAGATGAGATATGAGATATTTGTGCTTTTAAAAACATATGGAAAATTATATATTCCATTCCCCAGGCCTTTACTAAACACCTCTGTCTCTGTTCACTATCCATAAAACAGAAAAAGTTCTAAAGTCTAGGGATAAAGTAAGACAGAATGGGGTCTGCGTGAGCCATCCTCTCTTTTGGGAATCAAAGAATTGTAAACTAAGATACTTTTAACAATCTGGAATATCAGATAGCTCTAGGATGAGATCTTTTTCCAATACGCTGTCTCACCCACAAGGAGAACATGTCCCAATTTACTGGAGTCAAACAGCCAGGCTCTGTTCCTGATCTGCAGTCTGTCAGTATTCTTTTCTTCGTATCTACTAATTCCTCTTCTTTATACTCATTTAGAATACACTAATGGAAGTAGCCTGCCACGTGGCTTTCCTCTTTGCCACTTTTTCTCAGGAAATGTGATTAAAGAACTTGGAGTGGGCTGTTTTACGCACAAATATTCAGACAGTCTCTTAGCAATAAATGGCTGTCGCTTCTATTATCTGTCTGGCTTTGAGTTCTATTATCTGTTGTGAATTGGTGCAGGGCTCTGTAAAACAGTTTTTAGGCAGCCTCATTACTCCCTTCCACACCTTCTGCTCCATCTGAGAGTGCTGCTGCTGTGATTGCTGGGTAATGTTTGCCATTAGACAAGGCACATAAAAGAATCAAGCTATGACTAATTCACTTGATGGCTGTGTGCCCTGTGTCATGCTCATTAACACCTCTCGACTCCGTTATTAGAGAGAATCACAGAGCAGATCTCAGCAGGCTCACATTTATACTATAGGATGCTTTATTTTTCCATCTGAGCCACATCCTTACCACTGACTTGTTCGGATCCCCTTCTACACCAGGCCCATTCTACCCTGCCACACTTAACTGGGTCTTTCACTAAATAAGTAAATGCTCATGGGAGTCTGTTAGCAAGAGAGGCCTTTAGATTGTTTGGAAATGGGGGTATATGCGCTCTAATGAATCATCCACTCACCTTTCTGCTGAAGTCATCAGAGATGCTCCTGGTGGAAATCCAAAGAGAAAGTGATAACAACTTAAAATATCAAAGTATACCCAGCCCTTTTTTTGGCATTATTTTGTGTGAGGTTTACAACTCTTTGCTGTAGGCTGCATAAATGTACTCATCTTTAACTTCAATACTAGCTTTTCTAACGAAGAAAGGTATTGTATAAAAATGGAAAGAAATACTATTATTTATGTTTGACTTTCCTAAGCTTAGTGATCAAAGTAATGGCAAATCAGAGATCAAAAGAATATTTTCCTTAGTAGTGACTGGCAGTATTCTGATCCAAGATTATATGGGCATCATACTTAGCTGCCTTAATCATCTTCAACTCCAACTGCAAGTCCACATTGTAACCACCACTATTGTTCCCTGATATCTAGGTATCCTCTACTTCTGAGTACATAGAACACTGCACATAGTCTGCCTCTTGAAGATGGGCATAGCCATGTGACTTGATTTCACCATGAAATATGAGTGAAAGTGACAAGTGCAGTTTACATGCAGATGCCTGATACTATGGCTTGGCTTTTCCTTTGCTGCCAGAATTATAGAAGTATGTATCCAAATGGAGGTACCATAAGATCTAAACAGCTTAAGATACCAAGTTAGCACACCAGAAACAGTTGCCCTGGAGAAATACTTGGACTTTCAGTAGAATTTGGACACTAGATAAAATTCTGTTATGCTAAATTACTAAGATGTTGGAGTTGTTATCATAGCACATCCTAGTCTATATAGTGAGTGATAGACTTCATTTGCTTTAGCTGTATCATAAAATTAGCCATTTGTGGAAATGAAAAATAAATGCTGCACGGCCAAATGAAAAAAACAGTAACTGAACTTAATGCCAAAAGTCCAATTCTTTCTAAGATATGAACTCTGCCGGGTACCATGTAATGGTTACCAAGGTTTTTTGCTATATAAGGACAAACATGAGGTAAGGACAAGTGAAGTCAGAAATCTAATTCACACTTTGTTCACCAAGCTGTGCATGATGGTTCAGAGCTGTGCCCAACAGCAGGATGCCTTTTTCCAAATTGCACAAATGTACTTTATATGAAAGCTGAATCCCTGAACTAAGATCTTACTTTTTGGATGACCTATGAGGCATTATCAACTTATTTAAAGCTTCAATTTTATTTTAATTTTAAAAATATGAATAAAAATCTTTACCAGTTTGGTTGTTAGGAAATTTAAATTGAACGAGATATGTAAAGGCGTATATATAGTGTCCACTACATAGAACAATAGCACTCAAACTTGAAGAATCAACTTCGATTACTGAAAGACTCCATCAGAAAAAGTAGAGGCAGTGTTTGTGAATAGGAAAAATGACCACTTTCCAAAATAAGTGGTTTGGGAAACTTTAAAAATGTGAGTTATATTGCACTTGGTCCAGTGTTCTGATAATAGGTGTGCCTAAGTGACAGGAACCCAGTTTGAACCAGTATAGTAAAAAAGAGAGTGGTAAGGTAATCAGTTCCCATAAATTAAACAAGAGTTGAGTAAGCAAGTGATGAGAAGAGGAGAGATGAAGCTAGACTTTGTAACAAGTAGAATCAAGGACTTGAACATGATAACACCCCTTTCTTTTTCCAGGTCTTTTTCTTTTTTTGCTCTTTTTCTCTGTGTGTCACAGTTGTTTCCTCTCACTGCAAACTGGGTGTTCCAAAAAAGAGGAGACAGAGCTGCCCAAAGTTCTTGATGTTCCAACCGAAAAACAACAACTAACACTTTTCCTTAATTACATTTCAAAAAATTTCAGAAATAATTCTGATTGCCTCATCTGATCAGGGACCTACACTTAGACCAATAAACTGTTTCCAGGAAACAAAACACTCTGATTATTCCAACTTAAGAAATATGCCACTTTTGAACCAATAAATTATGGCCAAGGATGGAATCAAAGTCATGGAAAGTCATGGTAATCCCAATTAAAAGTAGTTGGTTGAAGTGAGGAAAAAAACAATTCTTAAAAGAAATGAAGGGTGTAGATTAGACAATACTACAAATGTCTTTTTTAGATAATATTTCAAGGTGAATCAGTTGGGGAAAGTGAGGATAACAAAAACAAGTTAAACACTATGATGGGAAAAGAAGAAGCAATTATCTCTATTATGGGTCCAGTGACAGAGTTTAGCAATGTATTTCTATTTGAGTAATTTTCCAGAAAGACAGATTGCCTGGGGCAATTGGATGTTTTCCCATCCATTACATCTCCTATTACAGGGCACCATTCACTCATCAGGAGACTTAGATAAACCAGAAGTCATCTAACTATATTTTCTGGAATCCCCTTTGTTATGTGAATATACATTAGCGTTTGCCAATAAGAATAACTCACATGACATTTTAGTAGGCAGAGTGATTTGGGAGATCAAGGTGGCCACACTGGTGGCCAAGGGTAAGTTATTTTTTTTTTAAAGTTTTTCTTTTTTATTTATTTATTTATTTATGATAGTCACAGAGAGAGAGAGAGAGAGAGAGGCAGAGACACAGGCAGAGGGAGAAGCAGGCTCCATGCACCGGGAGCCCGACGTGGGATTCGATCCCGGGTCTCCAGGATCGCGCCCTGGGTCAAAGGCAGGCGCCAAACCGCTGCGCCACCCAGGGATCCCCCAAGGGTAAGTTATTAACCAAGATAGTTGACTAAGAATTTTCTGAGACTCAGGAGTTGCAAAAATTTCCTGGTGAAATTTTTATAGCTACTTACTATAGAGTTTCAAGCTGTTTCTCTGACTCTACCCTTCTATCTTTTTTTCTCAGTTAATCCTTAATTCTTATATTAAAATAGTATTCTCTATTCTTTTTTTTATATATAGAATTCAGTATTCCATATATTTTATATTCTCTACTCTATATAGAATTCAGTATTCCATATATTTTATATTCTCTACTCTATATAGAATTCAGTATTCCATATATTTTATATCTTATATATAATTCAATATTCTATATAGTTTCTATTCTGTATAGAAATATTACTATGGTATTACTTAGAATACTTATTTTCTTTCTTAACACATATTGATACAGGTAGAGATCTAGTTAGATACAAATAAAGAGATTCTAGGCTGACTATGAAGTACCTTCAAAGATCAAAAATCAGGGTGAATTTGGTGAGGACAAGGAACAAAAAAGAAAGAGAATCGGAGATATATTGCCCAAGAAGATAATACGACAAATTGAGGGTCCAACATGAGAGGATGAGAGTACATACTTCTCCATAAAATATCTAAGATTAATTTTTTCTTGTGCTATAAAGAACAAATGGGACAATTGGTAATTATAAGATTAAATAATATTATATCAATGTTAATTTCCTGATTTTGATAATGTTATGTTAAAGAATATTCTTGTTTTCTTTTTTTTTTTTTCTTAATTTGACAGAGAGAGAGACAGTGAGAGAGCACAGCAGAGGGAGCAAAAGAGGGAGATGGAGAAGCAGGCCCTCAGCAGGGAGCCTGATACAAGGCTTAATCCCAGGATCTTGAGATCATGACCTGAACTGAAGGCAGACACTTAGCTGACTAAGCCACCCAGGTGCTCCAAGAATATTCTTGTTTTTAACACACTGAAGTTGTTATGTTTTACAACTCTCAAATGGTTCAAATAAACTGGATAGAAATTCTAAGAAAAAGAAAGAAAATAAAACTGGAACTCCCAACTCTACCTTGCAGTAATCAAGAGCCACATGTTGTATATCAATGGAGGCCAACTTGGGAACCTAGTTTCTACGACTACATAACAGTAACAACACACTGCCTTCTTGCCCCCACCCCTCTTAAAGTGGATTCGGGGAAAGCAAGCTGAAATGGACGGTTTGGGTAAGATCTGATTTGTCATAACATAGTACCCAAAATGTCCAGGTTTTAATAAAAGAAAATCATGCCAAATACCAGGAAGATATGAATGAAAGTAGCCAATCAATAGATGCCAACACGGAGATGACAGTGCTGTTCGAATTATCTGACAAATACTGTAAAGCAGCCATCATAAAAAGGCTTTAATGAGCAATTATGCACATAAATGAAACACATGAAACCAAGAAAGTGTCAATGATTTCTTCAAAGAAGTTCTCAGTGAGGAATAGAAAATGCAAAAAAGAACCAAATTGAAATTTTGGAACTAAAAAATACAGTGATTGGGCGCGTAGGTGACTCTGTCAGTTAAGTGTCTACCTTTGGCTCAGGTCATAATATCGTGGTACTGGGGTTGAGCCCCATGTCGGGCTCCCTGCTCAGTGGGGAGTCTGCTTCTCCCTCTTCCTCTGCTCCTCCCCCCACCCCCACTTGTGTGTACTCTCTCAAATAAAATAAATAAAATCCTTAAAAAAAAAAAAAAAGGAAGAACATGTAATTACCATATGAATCAGCAATTATACTCCTGGGCATTTATCCCAAAGAAATGAGGACTTGTAATCATTCAAAACCTTATATACAAATGTTTATGGCACTGTATTAGTTTGTTAGTGCTGCCCTAACAAAGCACCACAAATGGGGTGGTTTTAACAACAGAAATTTTTTGCCTTACAGTTTGGGAGGCCAGAAGTCCAAGATCGAAGTTTCAGAGGATTGCTTCCTTCTAAGGGCTGTGAGAGAGACTTTGTTCTATGCCTCTTGCCTGGCTTCTGGTAGTTGTCTGCAATTCTTGGTACTCCTTGACTTGCTGAAGCCTCGCCCCAATCTCTGGCTTCATTTTCACATGGCGTTCGCCCTGTGTGCATGCCTGCCTCCAAATTTATGCTTTCACAAGAGCACCAGTCACACTGAATCAGGGCCCATCTTAATGACCTCATTTTAAAATTGATTACCCCTGTAAAGGCCCTATCTCCGAATACAATCATATTCTGAGGTCCTGGGAGCTAGAATTTCAACACAGGGATCTGGGGAGACACAATTCAGTTCACACTAAGTACCTTTACTTGTAATATACCATCTCTGGAAATGTCCTAGATGTCTTTCAATAGGTAAATATTTAAATAAACTTTGGTACATCTATACCATGGAATATTATTCAGTAATGAAAAGAAAAAATCACTATTGGTATATGCAAGAACCTGGATGACTCCCCAGGAAATTATGCTAAGTGAAAAAAAGAAATCCCAAAGGGCTACTTACATACTGTGTGGTTCCATTAATATAACATTCTTCAAATGACAAAATTTTAGAAATAGAGAACTGATTAGTGGCTGCCAGGAATTAGGGAGGGGATAGAGCAGGAAGGAAGTGGGTATGGCTAACAGAGAACAAGAGGGATCCCTGTGGTAATGGAATGTTCTGTATCTTGATGTATAAAAGTCAATATCCCAGTTCTGATATTTACTGGGCAAAGAGTACACAAGATCTCTCTGTGTTGTTTCTTACAACTATATACCAATTTAATATGATCTTAAAATAAACTCTTAACTTAAATAAATAAAAAAATTTTTAAAGTTCATGCTGGTTTTCCCACATTATTATAATCATATGCTATAAAAACAGAAGTCTGAAAAAATAAAGACTAATACATGGAGAAACATTTTAAAATCACTCATAATCCAACTTAAGGTCGAACTGTTGTTTCTAAAAAGTAATGAGTTACAATAGATACATAACCAATATGAAATCTGGAATCAGCCTGCCCCTTCAAGCGTAGCTAAGTTTGAGGTAAACATATCCTCATTCTCATGTCCCTTTCATGTCCTATTCAAATCACAACAGTTTCCTCAGATTTCTGTCCTTGCCTGGAGGTAGGAGTAGAAAGTGATTCAAGCTCACAGATACCTGTGTTTCTGAAGTCCTGCTCTGGATGAATCAGTTCCATGTGTGAATCATCTGTAGATCTGCTAATAACATTTTCAATGCTGCAGCCTAGGCCCTTCCCTGAAGCTCTGCAATCATGAGATAGGGGTGTACTTGGTAGGTTTTACTGACAATCAGAGAAAGGTGGCCAAGGAGAGGACTACATCACACCAACAAAAATACATTCTAACCAAACACCAGACTTCTTTGCTTCACTCACAAATGAATATTATTTTCGCCCACTTTTCTCCTGAGATCTTGGCTTACCCCTGTAAAGGCCCTGTGCTTTGTGCTACCTGTCTTTTCCCTCTTATCCCCTCATCTTTCCCCCCAACTCCTAAATCCTTGTTCATAACTTATTCAAAGGAACTTTAGCCTTCTCTTTTGTCATCTGGTTCTGGTAGCTTAGAACCTCTGAGTATCACTTTCTCATTAATCAGCTTGTCAAGATTTTTTCTAGCCCAAGATATTTTCTTCCTTAAGAACAATCCTTGTGCCATTTGTTAAGAAAAGCCACTTGTTTCCCTTGCCATGCACTTGCTACCGAAGTGTATGGACTCGGGGTACTGGCTAGCCCTGGGTCAAGGGACAGAGCTAGAGACAGAGGGGATCAGTTATCCTGATCTTTGATTCCTCTGAGTCATTTCTAACACCAGCCTCTTCAAAACTGGTTCTTTTTGGGAGAAATGAAAGTATCACAACGGTAATTACATAAAAAAATAATAATGCTAATAAGTAAGGATATCTGTGACATTCTTCATTCTTCATTAGTAACCAAACCCAAAATTGCCTGAACGGTAATATGCCAAATTCCAGAGGATTAATCATGATGGGTATTATGGGCTGAACTGCATCCCCCCAGAACTCAGATCATCCCCATTACCTCAGAATGTGACTTATGTTTGGAGAGAGAATCTTTAAAGAGGTAATTAAGTTAAAGCAAGGTCATTAGGATAGTTCCTAATCCATTACGACTGTTGTCCTTATAAGAAGAGGAGATGAGCACATAGACACACATACAGGAATGACCATGTGAATACACAGGTAGAAGAAAGTCATCTACGAGCCAAGAAGAAAGGCTTCAGACAAAAACAACCCTGCTAAAATTAATTTTGGATGTTTAGCCTCCAGAACCATGAGAAAATAAATTTCTGTTGTGTAAGCCAGTCTGTAGTGCTTTGCTTTGGCAGCCCTGGAAACTAATACACTGGGTCAAAGTCAGCCATGGAAATTTGTTTTTATTTTGCATATGGCCCAGCTATAGAAAAGTAGATATAACAGGTAGTCTTTTAGGTCTTTTGATGAAGCCTCTTATGTTGTGCTTTAGATATCATTCTAGGAAGACATGATGCCTGGAATGGTAACAGAAGTCTTGAAAGCATGGAAGAATGAAAAAGGAAATTCCATGAGCATCGGTCTTAACCTTTGACATTGATGAGTTGCTGATCCAACCCGAGAACTGCTAATCTCTGAACATCTTGCTTTGTCACTTTTATTAATAAAACTGAATTGTTTGAGTTAGTTTTGACAGGTATTCTTATTTGCAGCCAAAAGCATCAAACCTGTAACGTTTCCAAGCATTGCATGATGTGTTTTCATATGAAGTCAGTCCAATTCTTTGTCTGAGATCTGGAAGACTCAATCACAGAGGTAATATATTAGTGTAGCAATCAGAAGAATGAATTTCATCACATCAGAAAACGCAGGGAAATGGAATAGAGGTACATGAGGAAAATACCATTAAACTGTATCTAAAGTCATTTGGTAGAAAGTACTCCCTTCCTAGCCTTGTCATATTAATTTCTTATTCAAGAAACATTTACTGAGCTTAGTCTACTTACACTGTGCTTGGAACTTGGTACCATTTCCACTGAAAGGGATATTAGACTGGGGGCACCTGAGTGGCTCAGTTGGTTAAGCGTCAGCCTTTGGCTCAAGTCATGATCTCGAGGTCCTGGGATAGAGCCCCCTGCTGGGGGTTCTCTAATCAATGGGGAGTCTCCTGTTGACCCCTCTCTTTCTTTCTTAAATACATAAATAAAATCCTTTTTAAAAAAGAAAAGAAAAAGAAAGGGATATTAGGCTTATTTATACTTTTTCCTCATGCTGATTCAAGATTGTTTATTGTGTATATAAAGACTAAATATTTTAGCCAGACCCATTTGGCTGACAAATAGAACCAAAGGAGTGAGGTCAGATCTGGCCTGTTGCCTTTGGCTCAGAAAGCATCCAGACACTGTCCTTTTCACTTTCTGCCCCACGCTATGAAAGGGAATCCATCATTGACAGCAAAACCACTGGTCATATCAGAATATACCTGAAGAAACAACATCACACAGCTCCATGAGTTGGAAGCCATGGGGAAACTGGGCAAAGTGAGCCTCTGCTCCAGAAAGCAGCCCACAGGCACAGGCTGCTTTCCAGAGGGCAGTACAGTTGGTAAAAGCATGCTGGCGCCACTAAGACATGGTCAACTGCCACTCTCCCATGAGCCTTGCTGCGTCAGAGGTGGGGCAGCAGCTGACACAATCGGTGGCAAGTTCAGTCATCCTTCTGAACCAAGCAATTCAGGGCTGGCGTCAGGAGGGAAAAGCAAAATAAGCCTTGGGTTTTTGTTTTTGTGTGTACGTGTGTGATGGCAGCCAAGGAATCATGATTTTCGTTCGAGGTGCCCAATAACTGAAAAGCCACTTTTGAGGGTGCCAATGCTACCATCTCGGTATTGTTGTTGTCCCACTGAGGGGTGGGGAGGGGCTGGCAGCCAGACAGACTGTGCTTTAATTGGCCTCCTCCTGGAAGGGAAAGAGCCAAACGTTTGCGGGATGCTTATTTGAGCCAGTTTCAGAGTAATAAAAGTGCATCTTTGATACACAGAGAGTTTATGTTCTTCATAAAAATGCTAATTGCAATCTTCGCAGAAAGCAGTGGCAAGAATGCTTTTCCCCTTAGGCTTTTCAATAGGAATACTAGGTTGTGCTATGTGGGTGACCTTGTGTTCATTAACTAGGGACAAGGCTTAAGTCCTCTCTAAGGCCTTTCAAAACCCACTTTAAGGATTCCACCACTGTGAGTCTGAGAGCATTCAAACTCTTTTCATGGAAAACTGGAAAGCAATCTATTTGTTTCTTTAAAAAAAAAATCTCTTAATACAAATACACAGGGGGAGCTTAGAATATTTTTCCTTCAGTGAGTGTGTTTTTCCAAGGTCAATTTGGAGGTTCTTCCTATTTGGCTGAGAAAAACTAGGGCCCCGGTAAATGCATCCACGCTCTCTCTGCGGCTTGGAAAACTTCCCCACCTACAGATGCTACGAGAAGTTGCCGATGTTTTTCCAGGGCCCCACTGTTTGCTTCTCTCTCTACAGAGAAGGAAGACAGGGTGATGAGTGAGGTTTTATTTGTCCTGTAGGATGACTCATTCAGCAAGAGTTTCTGACCCAGAATTCTTGTCTTTCTTTGTTCTATCCATCCCTACCCCTCCAAGCCCCTTTTATTTTTTGGTCCTTGGACAGGTTTTCATTTACCCTCTCTTGAGATCCTCTCCCTCGAATCTCAAAAAAATAAAAATGTTGTGGTTTTTTTTTAAGTCAAACTTGCCACAATTGCATTCAATTTACTCTGGGAACTTACTTAAAGGACAGGGGTTTTGAAATGTGATCAACAAAATAATCAGTTATGAGTTACATTAAAGAGCATCCTACCGGATTGACCTAAAATTTAAGAGGGAAATCAGCTTCCTGTGATCTCTCTTACCATGAATGGGACTCTGTGTCTCAAAAACTTTGTATTGAATATTTCCCGAAGTGATGTCTGCCTTTCCAACAGGGAGAGTGCAAAGTCTTTCTCAGAAACCAGTGTCATCTGGCCCAGCTGCAGGCAGGTGTTGCTCAGCAGCCTTGGGCTACTCTGGCGCTCACAACGTCCCCACAGCAGATGTTCTGTGCTCTCAGGAAGGCCAGTCTTCTTTTTTGAAAAGAGGTGAGATAAGGGGGACACTCAATGTATGGGAATCAAAACATCGTAAGCTAACTGGACCAAAATATCACAGCAGGTAACCAATTTTCATTGCATCCATGCAAATCCAGGACACCAAGTATTGAAACCTGTGTTCATAAAATCTTATTTCTTTTTTTTAAGATTTATCTATTAAAAAAAATTATCTATTCATGATAGACGAGAGAGAGAGAGAGAGAGAGAGAGAGAGAGAGAGAGAGGCAGAGGGAGAAGCAGGCTCCATGCAAGGAGCCCAATGCAGGACTCAATCCCAGGACTCCAGGATCACGCCCTGGTCCAAAGGCAGGCGCCAAACCGCTGAGCCACCCAGGGATCCCCTAAAATCTTATTTCTAACATCTCTATCATCTCTTCTGATTCATTATAGCATGTACAACAGGCTTTTCTTTCAACTTTGCCCTTTCCCGTATGTAAACTGGAGAGAGAAAGAAGGAACACAGAGCAGCGATTTCTCATGAGGATGCTACTGCCCAGCTGTCTAATATACCATGTTATCCCAGGTCATATAATAAATTGTCATATGGAAACTACCTGTTCTGTCTGTTATAAATCTGGCACCGTCCAGTACTGACCAAGGAGCCAGGGTTACTGGCAGCTTCGGTGGACAGTAACTTATAGGAGGCAGTCTCTACCCCAGGCAAGAAGGACAAAGGCCAGGAGGGATCAGCCAAATTGAAGACAGTATGCTAGGGAAAGCAGAGGTTTCAACTCAAGGAATATGTGCTACAAATGCCAAATTTAGATCAAGGCAAGTATCACAGAACCAAGAATTCACAGACAGATTAATCGGTATCAAGTGCTAAAGATACAAGTGAATAGATACCTTAGGGTGGAAGGAGAGGATGAAAAAAAAAAAGCTGGTGAGCTTGTTACACTTAGGAGTGAAAAGATCTTGCCATAAATGTTGATATCTGCATTGATGAAGGCATCTTCAGCTAGTCCAGCAAAGAACAGCTGGCTGCACTGAGGTGAAAAGAGGGTAACACAAGAAGAAGGAACCATGAGAGGAAGACAATTATCAGCATGGCATGAAGGAGAAGCATAAGTCTATATAACTGATGGATGAATAAATGGCTTGAAATGAGTAGGGAGTAGCAAAGGGCATCGATAGCATTTAAGAGGGAAAATGACATAACTAGGTAAATATGGCAACAGTAAGTTACTGGATCTCAGGAGAGAAGGAAGACAGAACTGTGACTTCCCCTATTTTCCTCCTGAACATTCTGTTTAACAATTAAAAATTCTTAATGTTCTTTTTAATTCCTCTGCCTCTTCTTTATCTTATCTACTCCAGGGTCCCCAGCACCAGCTTGCTGTCTGGCACGTAGGAAGCACCTAAACAATTAGTGTGTTGAAGAAATGAACATAAGGATAAATGTATATAAAGCTTAAAGAAACCTAGGATAACGACAGGTGGGATAGAAGCAGAGGGAAATCCATGCAAGTCTCATGAGATATTAAAAACAGGCCTTGGTGACTGATTAGATTTGGGGAAGAGGGAGCGAGTAGTCGAAGGTGACAGATTTAGGAACTAAGTGTCTGAGAGAACGATGCTGCTTTTGGGTGGGGGTGGAAGCTGCATTCCCAGGAGCCAGAGTGGGACCCAGTCCAGATGGAGATGCAGTTGGCTTTGGTCCTACTGGTTCAGGGGAGTGATGGTTATCATGCTGAATTGTCCAGAGGAGCTGAAAATACTGAACTGGGGCTCATAAAAGAAGCCAAAGCTAAAGAGAGAGGTTTGATTTTACCTGTGGAAAGGCGTCAGTTAGAGCTGTGGACAAGGATGAACTTGTCCGAGAAGGCGGGCAGAGAAGAGAAAGCAAACAAAGACAGAGCCTTAGGGAGGGTGGCAAGATGAGCCAGTGTCTGAAGTTTATGAACCACGTCTTGATCTCCTGATTCAGTTATCTGATCTCTTGTTCCCCCAGCCAACCCTGAAAATACCGCACACCCTTGTCCTTCCTGCCCAGGGAGAGAAGGCCTTTAAATGCATGTGGCATTCCAGCCATTAACTACAATCGCCAGTTCTTGTACCAACCACTAACAGCTAGAAGCCGCTCTGAGATTGCCACTCGAGGCTGTACATTGCAAACTTATTTTTCCCTCTGATGCTGTTTGGTTTCTGATGATGTTATTAAAATGAAAGGATTTCTTTTTTTAATGAGCTGGAAGGGAATCCACTTAACCAAATCGTTCGTAAAAGGAATAAAACACGTCAAGACTCTGCTTTGCACCAATCCGCCAATATAGGATCTTGCAAGAACCTTCTTCTGTAAATATTTACAAGGAGAGTAAAAAAAGAAAGTGGTTTGGGGAGCCACCAGATGGAATAATACAAGAACAAACTTGAATACAGTCAAAATGGTCTTCAGCAACTAACTGGGCACCCTCTCAGGAATATACTATCGCCTGGGGGGGGGTGAGGGAGGAAGACTATAGAATAAAAAGGAAAAATTGCTCTGGCAGGGTGTCTCTTGAGCCCCATGTTAGCTAATCTCTGAAAACTGGG